GAGTCTCCTGTCTCCGCCTCCCAAGTAGCTGGGACCACAGGCACCCGCCACAACACCTGGCTATTTTTTTGGTTGCAGCCGTCATTGTTGTTTGGTGGTCCGGGCTGGGGATTCGAACCCGCCACCTTAAGTGTACGTGGCTGGCACCTTAGCCGGTTGAGCTATAGGCGCCGAGCCAAGTGAGTTAGTCTTTAAGAGATAAAATAGAGGTTTTCAACAGATTAGAGGTTCCAATAAAGTGAAAGTATAGTTATATTATAATTCTTTTTTTTCACCAGAATCCGTCACCCTGGGCACAGTGCTGTGACATCATCATAGCTCACAGCAACCTCAGTCTCTTGGGCTGAAATGATCCTCTTGCAACAGCTTCCGAAGTAGATGAGACTACAGGCGCCTGCCACAATGTCCCCATAGCTTTTTCTATTTTTGGTAGAGACTCATCTATCTCTTGCTCATGCTGGTCTCCAAGTGATCTATGGCTGGGCCTTCCAAAGTGTTAGGATTACAGGCATGAGCCACCCTGCCAGGCCAGCTATGCTGTAATTCTTGAGTAGTCAAGCTGAAGGAAACAGGTTGAGGCTGAACACAAGGATGTCGGAATGATTGATTCCTGACTCCACAGCATTTCCGGTGACAAGGTCCAGGCTTTTAGTGGAACTAAAAGACTGATATAAAGGTCGCTAGAGATTAGGTTCAATGTTAAGTGGTTGTCCACATGTTCTGAAATTATTAAGAATGACAGTCAGGGCAGTGCCCGTGGCTCAGTGGGTAGGGCGCTGGCCACACACATGGGGTCGGCGGGTTCGAACCCGGCCTGGGCCAGCTAAAACAATAATGACAACTGCAACAACAACAACAACAACAAAAATAGCCAGGCGTTGTGGCAGGCGCCTGTAGTCTGAGCTACTTGGGAGACTGAGGCAAGAAAACCTCTTAAGCTCAAGAGTTTGAGGTTGCTGTGAGCTGTGAGTGCCACAGTACTCTACCCAGGGTGACAGCTTGAGACTCTGTCTCAAAAATAAATAGATAAAATAAAATAAGCAAGCTCGGCGCCAGCCACTTGCACCAAGGCTGGCGGGTTCGAACCCGCTCGGCCAGCTAAAACAATGATAACTACAACAACAAAAATAGCTGGGCGTTGTGGCAGGCGCCTGTAGTCCCAGCTACTGGGAGGCTGAGGCAAGAGGATCCCTTAAATTCAAGAGTCTGAGGTTGCTATGAGCTGTGACTCCACGGTACTCTACTGAGGGCGCCATACTGAGACTCTCAAGAATAATGGCAGTCAGGGGGAGAAAGTAAAAGAGGCAGCTGGATAGACAAATCGATAGATTATCTCTACGGGGTGATTAAGTGGGTGGCAAAGTCTAAGAGGGAGCGTCGGAGAAACAAGAGTTTTTACAAGAGCTGACAGTATTCAACACATAGTCCCCACTTTTGGAAAATGGGAAGTCAGAACACTAATTCATGTGAGGGGCCCCAGAGGATGCAGCATTCTCGGGACTGCTGGGTCTCTGTCGAAGAATAAGTCAAGTTCAGAGAAAAGCTGACGTAAAAGCGGGAATCCCTGAAGACCAGTTTGTAGGTAGGGGATGGAAGAAGAGACAGCGGAAAGTCCTAAAACTCCTCTGCCTTTTATTTACCTTCCTTTCAACCTACCACCCACACCACAGCAGCCTGCGCAGCCAGAAAACACACACACACACAACACCGCACCTTACCCGGCTCTTTTCAACTCCCCGCGGAAGCGTTCACACCGGAATCCCTCTGCGTTCGCATTCTCCATTGGCTGAAGTTTCCGTCCGCTTCCACTCGCTTCCGCCTACGACTAAGCCAGGCGGCACCTTACCTAGCAGTCACTTCCGCCTCGCCCCACACATTCCCTTTTAAGCCGCTTCCGTCTCTAGGCCCCGCCCATCCCCTGTGGCCCCGCCCCTCCCTGGCCCCGGGCCGGCTGTCCGGCCCCGCGGCGCCGCTTCCGGTGCGGGCCCCGCCCAGGCTGTGGCCCCCAGCTGCGGAGGAGTCCTAGGCGCAGCTGCCGCTCCGGGGTTGGAGCGGCTGCCTGTTCCACTGACCGAGAACTCGGAGCGCTCTGCACAGGTTAGCTGCGCGAGTTCTGGCTCCCGCAGCTGTGGTGGGAATGGGGGCTGTGGCAGGTGGAGGGGACGTAGGAGCAGGAGAGGAGGCAGGTGTGTAGGGGTAGACTGGAAGGCGCGGGCCGGCGCAGCGCGAGGGCCTCGAAGGAAAAGTGAGAGCGCTGGGAGGGGCCCCGAGGCGCCCTACTCCTATTAGGGTGATTTGAGATAAAGGGACGGCTAGGGTTAGGGGCCCCTTGGGACTGAGAGTTCGCTGATAGGTGTGGTTGGGGTGATCGGAAAGAACCAGCGGATTAGCTGGGGAGGCTTGCTAGAGGTAAAAGTGATAGGGCTGGATTGGAACGAATGTATAAAGAATGGGGGGAAGGGTGCTGGAGGGGTATGGAGCTTGAAGGGGCACGAGGCCAGAGGAATCCTGCAGCAAAGGTCGGGGGAGTTGGTCAGCAGGCCCGGGTTCAAAGCTGCAAGCAGTCGGTTGCTCCGGCTTGGTGGTCTGGGAACTTTAGCGGAATGGGGGAGGGGGCTGTGCGAAGGGATGAAGTGGTTTAGATTTGAGACATAAGTTCTCCGAATGTAAGCAGGTGGTGGTGTTTGGATCACTGTCTGCTTAGGGACTGCGGAAAGGTGGGCTCTTTGGGGGAGGGTGTGTGTATTGAGTTGTAGAACTGAGTCATCTCAGTCTTACTAAAGAGGCAGTGGGACACCTCCCCCCTCTGCTGGGAACAGCATACAGAGAAGATGGTGCCACAAGACAAGGAGCAGTTACTCAGTAACTGGCAAGACTTGGTTGAAAATTATTATAATATATATGCCGGCGTAGTATTCTGATAATATATGAATTATTCCGATTGTGGTTGAAGAAGTAATGATTATAAGGACGTTTAAAATGACTACCAAATTGTTTGCTGTATTCCTTTAATTTTCTTTGACCCAAATTGTTTTTATTTTAAATGAACACTTTTGCCAACTGGATTTAATGTGAGTGTAAATCTTTTCATGCTTTTTTACACTGTAAGAAGAGATAAAGCGGAATGAAAGTATTGCTGCAGGCATATTTCTACAGTGCCAGTAGAGGAAGTAAAGACAGTAAGAGGCAAATTGGAATTTGAATCTTTCAAGGGAATACAAAAGGCACAAGCAGTGCCCTAAGATAAATGGGGAATAAGAACTTTAAAAATCTCTAGAAATCTGCCTAGCTTTAAAAATTGTGCCTTTTTTGCTTTAACCTATAAAAAATTATAAATCCAAGCAGTTTTTGTTACTAGGGATGTGATTACTGTTCTCTGAATTTTTGAAGATGTCAGAGATGGTTAATTTTTTGTCTTTGGACCCAATCTAAAAACACTAGAACAATGCAAACATCAAGTCTCAACCTGTGCAATGCAGCTTCTTTCATGTGATGACAAAATTATACACCATGTTGCAAGTCCTGTTCACCTAAAATTTGCTCTTGCATAGCATAGCGACCCGTTCTGTTATGGAGACTTGCTGAGGAAACATAATTCAAGCAAGTTTTCTTGGGAGTGGGGGCCTCCAGAGGAGGGGGAGAGTTAAAGAGGGTGTGAAAGGGGTGTGTGTTTGGAGACTGTTTGGTAAGAATGCAGATAAACCTGTCCCCAGAATGCTTTTGGCCTAAAAGGCTTTTCTTTTTGTATTTGTCATAGAATGTCATAGTAGAAGTAAATCAGAAAGAAAGGGGATGTGAGGAGATTTACTTGATTGTTTATAAAAAAGAAGCATTAACTTGTTGTTTAGACAACATTGATATCTGTTTCAAATTAATTAACTTAAAAACTCCAGAGGAATTCCCCTGTTTGTTTTTGAATGATGATAGCAATTTGAGACTCTTGCCTGCTTGCGTTCCTTTCATGTTGTTGAAATTGGATTCTTTTTGAGGCTATAATGTCCAGTTAGTATGGCTTAGTCCATTTGGCAGTTAGGCTGGCAATTTGATCTGGGAACTTTGGAAAAGTTTAAACCCAAGAGCAGTTTGCTTGGTCTTGTTTTTTCTGAAAAAAGTCTCTGTCTGCCTGGTAGCTCTGTGCTTGGCTTGGAGGTACTATTTTTCTCTGCTTGGCTTGGGAACATAAGCAGTAGTCTTTCCTTTAGAGGGCTTGCCCTTTCTCTTTATTATTGTGGTTTTCATCGTTACAGTTTCTGTACAGTGCAAGCCCAGATGTCTTTTCAGTAATAAACACATTAATGTTTGATAATGTAAGGAAGAGGTACCGGAACACAGATGTTAGCAAACTAGATATTGTCTGGATTTACTTCTTCAAAACCTTGGTAGTCAACCACTACCAAGATGCCTCCTCTGTTTTCCCTCTGTTTCCCCAGCCCCCAAATCCCTACCACTTACTCATCTTAAAACTTAGGTTTAGGTTAGGAGCACATGGTTAGTGTTCAGAACTCATGCCCTTTACTGGAGAAAACATTTTTTGTACCTGTTTTACATAGTGTTTTTTGCCCCCTCCTTCTTTGTGGTTTCTGTTAATCACTCAAGGTTTAGACCCAGTGTGCCTGGTGGGCTGTGCCCAGGTTCAGAGCCATGCGGATCCGTGGGTGAAGCCTGAGGCAGTAATGGAGCCATTGCAGCAGCAGCCGCCGCAGAAGCAGCCGCACTTGGCTCCTCTGCAGATGGATGCCAGAGAGAAGCAGGGGCAGCAGATGAGAGAAGCCCCGTTCTTGTATGCCCAGAAGCTGGTCACACAGCCCACTCTCCTTTCTCCTACACCTGGGAGGCCTTCTAGTGGCCCTGCACTGGGTCCTTTAGCCAGAGTTCCACCGGCCACAGCAGTGGGCCGAGTTTTTGAACCAGGCAATGTGAACTCAGAGCCTGAGGAAGAGGAAGGAGGTTTGGAAGATAACAATGGGGGTGATGAAGTTGCAAAGGTGACTGAAAAAGGAATGCAGGCTGCTTCAAAATATTTTCATGGGCAGAAAGCAACTTGCCAAGAACCCCGAGCAGCACCCATGTCAAATCTACTGCCAGCACCAGGGCTTCCGCTGCATGGACAACAAGCTAAAGAAGACCATACCAAAGATGCCTCCAAGGCCCCACCTTCCATCTCCACAGCAGGGCAGCCAAGCTGGAATCTGGATGAGCAGCTCAAGCAGGTCAGTTTTCCTGGTATGGGAGGTCATTTGTTCTTCCTAAAACCTTAGGAGGGGTAGGAGATGGGTAGGGGCTGTGCTAGTCCATGCCTTCTCACCCTACCTTAGTGACCATCAGCCTGAACATGAATAGACTTTGAATTATTTTCTCTCTTAACATTTATTTTCTTGATGAAAGTGATGAAATGCACAAGTTACTCTTCATATAGATTATTCTAATTTTGATATGAAAGAATGTCAGTATAGTTTCTCTTTTTTAAAAAAGAACAATGAGGTTCCAACAGTGTTATGAGGAACATCTAAAAAATGAGGCACATGACTAATTATGGTTTTTCTAACAGCTACGTAAAAGAACACTCTTGCCTAAGACAGTTTCTTAGCTCCGGGCTAAGTTCAGATCATGTTCTTTAAGGACAGTTTGTTATTTTGCAGTTAACTGACAAGAAGTGCTTGGATAGTGTATATTTTCTAACAAAGAATCTTGCAGACATGATATCATTTTACCCTTGCCTCATCTCCTTTGAAGCAAGGAAGGGGTAGACCTGGAAATACGCTTTCTAGCCAAGGGAAGCTGAAATGACTTCCAAATTACCTGAACATCTGAATTAGCTGGGGAGCTATAAAAAAAATACAGATTACAGAATCTTAATGAATTATCTCAGAAGGTAGAGACTTGGGAGTCTGTGTTCTCAACACATCCTTTGATTTGTGATTCCTCTTTGTGACCTATGATGCAGTTTTTCCTTACTCAAAAAGTTGGAGTAAGGTAAGTTGTTTCAAGTTAAGTGATTTGTTGGTGCTTAGGCAGAGAGTTCCTGATGAACCCCAGTAGTGCCTGGGTATTCCCTATAAGCATATACTCTTGGGCCAAGCGTGATGGCTTACGTCCAGAATCCTAGCATTTCAGGAAGCTGAGGCAGGTGGATTGCCTGAGCTCACAGTTACAAGACCAGCCTGATCCAAATCAAGACCTCATCTCTAAAACATAGCTGGGCATTGTGGCAGGTGCCTGTAGTCCTAGCTACTCTGCAGGCTGAGACAAGAGAATCACTTGAGCCCTAGAGTTTGAGGTTGCTGTGAGCTGTGACGCCACGGTACTCTACTAAGGGTGACAAAGTGAGACTCTATCTCAAAAAAAAAAAAGCACAGACTCTTCATGTGGTCTGTGTGCTATTTAGAAATCATTTGTGGGCTCGGCGCCTATAGCTCAACTGGCTAAGGCGCCAGCCACGTACACCTAAGGTGGCGGGTTCGAATCCCCAGCCCGGACCCGCCAAACAACAATGATGGCTGCAACCAAAAAATAGCCGGGCGTTGTGGCGGGCGCCTGTGGTCCCAGCTACTTGGGAGGCGGAGACAGGAGACTCGCTTGAGCCCAGGAGTTGGAGGTTGCTGTGAGCTGTAATGCCATGGCACTCTACCCAGGGGGACAGCTTGAGGCTCTGTCTCAAAAAAAAAAAAAAAAAAAAAAAAAAATCATTTGTGAAGAGCTGTGGGTTTTCACAGAGCAACTAGGAAGTTATATAAGAAAGGTCTTTTGGAACTTGAGAAATCAAACATCTTGGATCAAGGAGCCCTATACAGAAGTGATGTTTGCAGTAGACTCTGTAGCAAGAAGTGAGGGTCAAATCCCATCCCTTCCATATGTTGCCTTTGTGATCTTTTGATAGAATTTCTGTGCCTGTGTCTTCTCATCTGTGAAGTAGAAAGAATGAAGGCGTCTCTCTATGTAGCGAGGATTAACTGAGCTAGCACACGTGAAAGTCTGTCCAGTGCCAGGCACGTGGTAGGTAGTAGTGCCCCAGGAGTTCTTTATGCAAACAGTGCCCTCCTCTTCTGCCTGTATCCACACAGACATATCTCTGAAGCAGGAGCGGTACTGAGATGCACAGAGGTTTACCTTTGCCATCACACAGGGAGATGGTGACAGAGCTAGGACTAGAATCAGAGAAACCCAACTTCCACGACAGCAGCACCCTGGCTGCCAGCCCAGACCCGTCTCTCACTGATTGCTTTGGCTTAGCAAAACATCTGTGAGTTGCCGGCAGCCCCCGCACTGCTGTATGGTTGGCAGAGTTCCATGGTGTCCGCTGAGTCAGCTCATAGCACGATCCTGCCCTGACAGCCCTGGGAAAGTTCAGGCCTGAGGCAGCTGGGCTGCCCCCGCCTTGGCAGCCAGCCAGCCTCTGCGTGTGTGCGGTCGTTCCTAGAAAGTGCAGCCGTTTGCAAGGAACAAGTGGAGTTCCAGTGCCTGTCTGTCTTCCGGAAGTGCAGCAGGTGTCGAGGTCAAGCTATTAGAGCTTTGAAAAAAGAGACTCTTTGGAACTGGCGTGTGTGCACGCACGCGTGTGTACCGTGGCAGGACACCCAGCGCCAAATTTTAGATACCGGCAGCCCTGGGACTACACAGTCTAGTGTTCAGAGGGCTGGCGGTTGGCATTTGAAACCCTTTGAGTTCATTTTAAGTTTCTGAGGCACACTCAACTAATTATAGACTGTTTGGTAGAGCTCCTGCCAAAATGTTTTATAAAGCCAGAGTAGCTGAGGCCTAGCCCCTCACCCTAAATTTACCTTCCTTTGGATTTAGAGATGAACTGGGTTGAGGACATTGGGTAGCAATGACTTAAAACCTTAGATGTGCACCTCCTTTTCCTCTTTTGAATTTAATTTTTTGTTTATTATTTATTTATTTTTGAGACAGAGTCTCACTTTGTTGCCCTTGGTAGAGTGCTGTGGGCTGTGGTGTCACAGCTCACAGCAAACTCAAACTCTTGGGCTTAAGCAATTGTCTTGCCTCAGCCTCCCAAGTAGCTGGGACTATAGGTGCCTGGCACACACCTGGCTAATTTTTCTGTTTTTAGTAGAGACAGGGTTTTGCTCTTGCTCAGGCTGGTCTTGAATTCCTGAGTTCAAGCAACCCTCTCGCCTTGGCCTCCCAAGTGCTGGGATTACAGGTGTGAGCCACCATGCCTGGCCCTTGAATTTATTTATTTATTTATTTAGACAGAGCCTTAAGCCCTGGGTAGAGTGCTGTGGCATCACAGCTCACAGCAACCTCCAACTCTTGGGCTTAAGCAATTCTCTTGTCTCAGCCTCCCAAGTAGCTGGGACTATAGGTGCCCACCACAACACCGGCTATTTTTTTGGTTGTAGTTGTCACTGTTGGTTGGCAGGCCTAGGCTGGATTTGAACCCACTGGCTCTGGTGTATATGGCTGCCACCTTAGCCGCTTGAGCTACAGGCACCGAACCAAATTTAATTTTTTTTTTTTT